TGCAAATGCAAATGCGGACTCAGATGTTCTAGTCCTAAGACTCATGGGAACTAGGTCAATGGGCTGACTCGACTGATATCCATACACAATCTCTGCGGGGCTGAGGCCAGTGGTTCGGTTTATAGAGTTGTTGTAAGCAAATTCTGCTATAGGAAGCTTTGAGTCCCAATCCCTAAGGTTCTCTCCTACCAAAGTCCTTAAAAGATTCCCTAAGCTTCTATTGACAATCTCGGTTTGGCCATCGGTTTGGGGGTGAAATGCAGTGGAAAATTGGAGCTTTGTCCCCATTTTGTGCCAAAGGGTTTTCCAGAAATAGCTTGTGAACTTAACATCTCTATCGGATACGATTGCCTTAGGAAGGCCATGGAGCCTAACTATTTCGTCAAAGTAAAGTTTAGCGATCCGGGAAGCATCAAATGTTTTGGAGCATGGGAGGAAGTGCGCCATTTTAGAGAATCGATCCACGACCACAAAGACATAATCATGTTTTCTAGTGGTTTTGGGTAAACCCAGGACGAAGTCCATACTTACATCTTGCCACGGGCGACTAGGCACGGGGAGTGGAGAATAGAGTCCCGTGTTCTGCTTTCGCTGCTTGGCCAGTTGACAGATATGACATCACTTCAAGAGCCTACCGACGTCGCGTTTGAGGCTGGGCCAATAGAAACGGTTTTCTAGAGCAGCGATAGTTTTAGCCTGCCCAAAGTGGCCAGCTAAACCTCCACCATGTAATTCCCATACAAGGTATTCGTGAAGTGAGGTTTGGGGAACACAGAGCTTCTGGGCTTTGAATAGGTACCCGTTGTCTATCAGGAAGTCATCTATCGTGCGTTCTCCTCCATTGGTCAAGAGGGAGTAGGTGTCCTGAAAATCTGGACAGTCCTTATACTCATCTCTGAGGCGTTCAAAACCGATGACTTCGGCCTTCATCTCCTGGGTTATCATCAGCCTCCTACTAAGGGCATCCGCAGCTTTGTTCTCACTTCCCGCTTTGTGTCTAATTGTGTACGTGTACTCCTGCAAGAACTCGACCCAATGACCATGGCGGGCGTTGAGCTTCTTCTGCGAGTTTATGTATCTCAAGGCTTCATGATCAGAGAATATCACAAATTCTTGGGGCAGCAAGTAATGTCTCCAGTATCTAAGGGACTGGATGACGGCATAAAATTCTTTGTCATAGGTTGAATATCTCTGGCGGATGTCATTTAATTTCTCGCTAAAATACGCCACTGGGTGTCCTTCTTGAGATAAAACTCCTCCAATACCGATCCCTGATGCGTCTCAGGTTACTTCAAATACTTTGGAAAAATCCGGGAGACGCATAACAGGGGCTTCCACCATTTTCCTCTTAATGTCCTCAAAGGCCTTAGTGGCAGCTGATGTCCAATGAAATTCGCCTTTCTTTAGGCAGTCAGTTATGGGTGCCACGATAGTACTAAAATTCCTGATTAACCTCCGATAGAATGTGGCCAATCCATGAAAACTCCGAACATCTCTTATGGTTTTAGGCTCAGGCCACTCGTTGATCGCTCTAACTTTCTCGGGGTCGGCTGAGATTCCTCGAGATGAGATTATAAATCTGAGAAAGGTGACTCTATCAGTAAGAAACACACACTTCTGAGGGTTCGCATATAACTGTTCTTTCCTCAAAATCTCACATACTTGTTTCAGGTGTCCCAAATGTTGGTCTACGGATTTACTATAGATTAGGATATCATCAAAGTAGACGACTACGAATTTTCCGAGGAAGGGTCGTAGGACTTGGGTCATAATCCACATGAAAGTGCTAGGAGCGTTACTAAGACCAAAAGGCATGACCATCCATTCATACAATCCGTCTTTTGTCTTGAAGGCCATTTTCCATTCATCCCCCGGGCAGATCCTAATCTGATGATATCCGCTCTTAAGGTCCACTTTAGAGAATAGCGTTGCCCCCGTCATCATGTCAAGCATGTCGTCTAGTCGGGGAATCGGGAAGCGATATTTAACGGTGATTTTGTTGATAGCACGGCTATCAACGCACATCCTCCAAAAGCCATCTTTCTTTGGAGTTAGGAGGGCAGGGACTGCACATGGGCTAACGCTTTCTTTAATAAATCCTTGTTGTAGAAGCTCATCTACTTGCCTTTTTAGCTCAGCGTGCTCCGTTGGGTTCATCCGGTAGTGAGGGAGGTTAGGCAGGGATGCTCCAGGGACCAAGTCAATGACATGTTGGATGTCTCTTAAATGATTTGAAATTCAAATTTATTTGGATTCAAAATTGAATGACTTTTCAAATTAACAAAATCTAATTTAGGAAGGTAATCAAGAGGGAATTTGAAATTTGAAATTAAGGGTTGGTGGTGAAGAGGTCGGCAGCTATAGGGATGGCTTGGATAGGCCGATGGCTAGGGGAGGTCCGTAGGAGGGAGCGTGGGCCGACGGGGGAGGTGGCTGGCTGGGGGGATGGAACTGTGGGCAAGGTTTGTGGGGAGAGGCCGGTGGGTTTGGGTGGAGGAGGGGAAATTGGTGGGATTGGAGAGAGGATGGAGGGGGAGTCAGTGGCTTTAGGAGGGTGGGGAGGGTGGCCGGATGTATAGAGGGAGGAAGAGATAAACCGTGAGCCTCGGACTCTTCTGGTGGCTGACGGGTGTTGCTTTCACCCTCACCTAGGGTTCTCTCTTTCTCAAGTGCACACACAAGAAGAAAAAGAATACAAAGCTCAAAATTTTATTCAAAAGCATCATTGACCTCATACAATGACTAAGGCCTTAATATATAGGTCTCCACTAACAAGAAAATAAAAGACTCATATGCCCTCAGGCTACAACATGAAAGAAGTCTCCACACAGGGGTACAATGGTACACTAAAAATAACATATATAAAAAATACATAAATGCATAAAAAATAGAGGCTCTGAATCGTAGCCGTCGATCTATGATTCTTCCGATGGTAGACGCGTCGAAATCTCCTGCTTATGTCCTCATCAGCATACTTGTACATGCCTATGTAGATACAGTACATGTATCTAACAAGTCTTCAAAGTGAACTCGACCCGAATGGTTACATCTCCTATGGGGAGCACTCGCCATGAGGAATGTAAGTCGCCCAACAAGCTATTCGCCATCATCTCACAAAACTATGGCCACTGTTCGAGCAAAGATCTATACAAGGACTCGTTGAAGTGGTCAACTTGAGGAATCATCACACCTAGTAAATCCCCCATGGAAACTCGTCCGAATTGATTCCCAACAGGAACTGTTCGGGCACTCTCCAATATTGGAACCACTCAACAACCATTGTCATCATCATCCTAGCTACATGAAGCATACAACGCCTCAAAGGCCATTGCTACGATCTCTCATATTTGGACAATTCTCAATCCATTGCCAGTCACTTAGAAGAACTCTTCTTTTGTTTTTAGAGAATAAAATGTCACATGGACTCGTTATCACATCCTAAAGATTTCCCTCCACAATGTCATCTGTTATTCGGAGACCCAAGAATTTTTCTTAAGTATAACATTTTATGTAACCCTCTAAACCTTACAAATAAAGGATGATGAGACATACTTAGAGTATTTGATGCAAACAAAAAATTAGAAAAAACTTTAATTTTTGCAAGCATATATAAAAACTTCCTAGAAAATAAAAAAATACACAAAATACTCCACTTGAAACAAAATACAATGCCACTTCATATCATAAAAATGGCACTTACAAGATTAGAACATAAAACTAAACATAAAAACACCTAAACTACATTCCATAGCTTGAGAAGAAGGATACAAGTGGCATCGAACTTGTGAAGAGAAGAAAGAGGTAAGAAGCCGAGACGAAGGAGAGGACAAGCTTGCAAGCTTTCCTAGAAGAAGAGAGAAGAAGTGGAACAAGTTCTCAAGCTTTTCCAAGAAGAAACCCTCAGGTTTTCATCTAAAAAAATCAGCCATAACACTCTCTTATTACAAAAACATCACATATATATAGGATAAAAGGGACAACCAAACAACCACCATAACCTCCATTTAAACCAATTAAAAGGGGAAAATGGAAGGCCAAAATTATGTCCAGAAACAACACCCAAACAACCACAAAGGAGGCCAACATTCATTCCAAAGCAGCAATCGAACAACCACACAGAAATCGGGTAAAGTAGCCACGGGACAGGCAGCCAGGGGAGAAACCGAAGGGGCAGCACAGGGGAGTCGGAACCAGCCTGGAGAACCGGAACAGCCATCCCAAAAAAGGGGAAGGAACCAACAACGGGAAACAGAACCAGGAGGAGAAAACCGAGGGGTCAAAGGGAAGGGAAAGAGGCAAAATTCAGCTCCACTTAATGAGCTAACAAGAGGAATAACTTTTCATATTAATGAGCTAAACACTAGCTCAAGCATTTATGAGCTAGAACCAAGTAGCTTCCAAAGAACACAACTCAAACCCGAGCAGCCAAGGCCCAATCCGAGAAGAAGCCAGCAGCCCAAAGACCAAAGAACCCCAGATGTTTTGACCTCCTCTTTGCCTACATTAGTATTGAACTTTCTATATCTTTTTGACATTTTGAGACTTGAGATTTCTTGCTTTCCATCTTTCGTCTTTTTTTTTTTTTAATTTCATATTATTTGTCTCAGAAGACCCGCAACATTCTCATTCTCCATATTTGCTTAAAACTCACTCAGCTCTCTCAATTTTCTTCTCAACCTGACTTGCTAGTAAGGTCAGGTACAAACAAAATCAGATCCAACACTTTCTTTTTCCCTTTTTAAAACCTAATTAAAGTTTTTATTTTGGATCATTCTAAAAAAAAAAGGATCTATGAATGTTCTAATCGAATCTTTTCTCTAAATTCATCCCTTAAAAGTTTAATGCTTGGCTTGAAAAAATGAAATTTGGTATGCGTAGCTACGAACATACCTTCTTTTTTTGTTTTTTTCTTAACTCTAACGAATCTGGTACATATTACTGCGAACTTCTCTTTGTTTTACTTAATGATCCGCCCCATAAACTGATATCTGACGATGCAGCAAATGCTGGAAGCCGTGAACACCATACATGAGGAGCGAATTGTCCACTCAGATTTGAAGCCTGCAAACTTTCTACTTGTCAGAGGTTCACTTAAGCTTATTGATTTTGGCATTGCCAAGGCTATACTGAGTGATACTACCAACATCCAGCGAGATGCACAGGTGAGATTTTCGAGTTCATTTTTCTCAATGAAATTTCGTTTTTTATTTTCCTTTTCAAACATCCTTCGCTATGAGATGATTTTCAAGCTCATGCCATTACACCAAGTCTTATTTATTACTTTTTGGATAGTACATGTTTCAAACTAGTTCATTTCATTTGAGGGTTTGTGGAGTTCAAAATTTGTATTCATTTTTTATTACATCAAGGGGGATTTAGATACATAGCATTAAAAAGGGATCCACCTAATTTTTACTATTCATTTTTAATTTGTTATCACTCAGATAACACTCAAAACTTTAAGGTCTCATTTGATTCGGCTTTTTTTTGCCTTTTCTGTTTCGAAACGGTAGAATTTTTTTGTTGCTGTTGTTTGTTTTTGATACTTTTGCAGAAATATTTTTTAGGGAACTACATTTTTATACTGTTTTAAAAAACTTTAGGGTATTTACTTCTCCATTTAAAAACTCCGTTCTCTCAAACAACAATTTTAAAATCATCTTTTAGAAAAGATATAGAATAACCAAACGAAGCCTAAATACCATGAAAAATAACACCCCTCACCCTCTTCCCTACAAATCTCATCACCTCATCTTTCACATACCTCTCTTCATGCTTGGAGAGATGGGCCTTCCCATCAACCAGGCAGAATCCCTCTTACATCAAATCAAAGATAAATTTATGTGCTAAATATATCGAATAGCTTTCAATGTTTTCTGTAAATTCCTCTTGCATCAAATCAAAGATGAAATCTAGTATTCTTTTTATGCAAAACGGTTTATCAAATGCAATTAAACTGCAGGTGGGAACTCTAAACTACATGTCTCCAGAAGCATTCATGTGGAATGAACAAGATCAGACTGGTGGCACCATCAAATGTGGCCGCCCATCTGATATCTGGTCTCTTGGTTGCATTCTTTACCAGATGGTTTATGGGAAAACACCATTTTCTGATTACAAGACCTTCTGGTCCAAATTCAAAGTCATAACAGACATGAACCATGAAATCTCTTATGAACCTGTTCCAAACCCATGGCTTGTTGATCTCATGAAGAAATGCCTCTCATGGGATCGAAACAAACGGTGGCGAATACCTCAACTCCTTCAACACCCTTTCCTCGTCCCGCCCGTGCCGTGCACCGTACCATTGAAGGAAGAGTATCCCTACAAACAATTGTCTGATAGGGTAGAATTGTATTGGAAGGAACCTGAGGTTAGAAGTAAATGTGCTGAGCTACTCAGTGTAGTTTCCAGACTTGAGAAAATTCACGGCTCCAACAACATCAATCAACAACATAAACCTGCTTCTTAAGTTGCACATTGCTATATTTGCAGGAGAAATTATTCTGTGCGGACGCCAAACGGCGTTAGAGCTGATTGGTCTCCGGATATAGAGCTGCGTTCGGTGGCCGCATCGAATAATTTTTCCATTTGCAGGGTTTAGTGTGATCCAAATTCTGTTAGTTGGTATAATATGGCTATTTTTCCTCATGTGAATCATGGTCTTCCCTCAATAGGCTTTTGGGTGAGGCTCAGTGATGGTTTAGCAATGGCTTTATAGCTGAAATTGGCTGCTTGAGATGTACATTGTAATGTTTTGGTTGTCTGAGTTTGAAATTGATAGAGCAGGTTAGGCTTGTTGGTTAGAAATGAAGAAGTATAAAGATGGCTCAAGCTACCAGAAAGGTATCTTAGCGATGTAAAATTATGATTTTAAGCAAGCTTAACAAGAATGATTAGGGGGTTTTAGTTAGGAATGATTTTCAGCATTTTGATTGTTTTTTTGAAATCTAGAACATTAATAAGTATTATTTTTATGAAATATGAAAAAGAAAAGGTCCAAATGTAATTTTTTTTTTTGTAAAAAAATTTTTATATTTGAAATTTGCAATAAAAAAATCATTCCAAAAGAAACTTAAAATGTCAATGGGTTACTTTCGCAGCTCTACCATCAATCATGAGCTATGCCTATGCATTGCCAAAGCACTTTGCGGGTTTACATGAAATGAAATGTTTTAATTTCTCGTTAAATATCACAAAGTAGTGGTAATAATATAATCAATAATGTCATAAAATAAAGCTTTAGATTTTATTTGAGATAATTTATTTGTCGCTTTATTTATTTTTTTAGATTATTATTATAATTTTTATTTGACTATTGTTTGTTTATTATTTTTTAACAAATTATACTATAAAATTATTTGTTACAATAATTTTGAATTTTTTTTCATAACAGCTTTATACTTACTCATATTTATAAAAAATGCAGTCATATCGAACTAGCCCTTAATTTAGCCTGATTAGTGATATTTTTTGATATTTCTGGGGAATTGCCACCTTATATATATATATATAAAATTAAAATTTTTAGAATTGGATGAAAAAGAAATCATGCGATTTGATTCATTAAGAATTTTTAATTTTGGATATGAATGATTTGACGTTTTTGCTATTTTTTAAATTATTTATTAAATAAGCTTTTTTGGTTTAATTACGTATTAAACATGCTGCTTTTTAAAATTTGCCCCCATCCATGAGTTTAGGCAATTCTAGAACTTAACCCATTAGAAATTTTAAATTTATTTACAATCAAAACGATATGAGTTTAGGCAACATATACGAGTTTCCTTTATTTACATGGATGAGTAACAAAATTTAGCCCTTCCTAGGGAATAGGGATAGCAATTCTATTTAAGTAGATATTACACAGCTCATCTTGATCTGTTGGTTGAAAACTTTAACTACAAACTAAAAAATTTTGATTTCGAAACTTACGTATGTGATGCATGTAAGTTTTATCTTAATTGATCCCAAAATCCAAACAAAAAAATAACTTAGCGGGCGTTCAAGGCAAATTACAAAAAATATCTAGAAAGGCTATTTTAGACATTCCCAATAAAATTTGATCAAAACAACTTTAGAAATATTTAAACATAATATAAGAATTTATTAATTATTCATGAATTATACTCATCTTATAACAAATCAAGAATTTTAAAACACACCATAATCAAATTTAATCATAATATTTACAACAATTCTTATTTTGGAAAACAAAATTGGGTTAGGATATAGGATGAGCATCAAAATCATTTCGTATTTGCTCTGAGATGAGTGCAATATAAAAAAAATTAATGTATATATACTACACTTATCTCAAAGTAAATCTAATGGTTTCGAAATACATCATACAAATATCCTGAGCCAATTTTTTTTCCATTAAATCTCTCTGCGTTTGTATTTCATTAGATTGACCAACAAAAAAAAGTGCATAGTTCACTTACTTTGAGATCAATCATCTTCCACAAAGACTCTGCTGATGAAATCACGAAATCTTCTGGAGTAGAGGTTTGGCTCCACAGCTGAGATGGAGGAGGGATCAACTTGCAAAGATTTATAAGCGTGTTCTAATTTCTTGCTGAAATTATAGTCACGAAGGATGTCAATTATTCCAAAATATAGGACCACTTTGTAAAATTTGTCACCTGCAGAAGGTAAGTGTTCAAAGTTGCTTCCTTGATAAACATGCTCAGCTCTGGCAGGCACGTTTGCGCCCAGCTGAATCAGATCCTCTCTATATTTAAAAAAAAAAGAAGAAGAATCAGAATGTTTAGATCAAAATTTGATCAGAAAGAATTCTAAAGCTTCATAATTTATTTTGAGATGTTATTTTTTTTATATTACATCCATCTCCGAATAAATATAAGAGTTCTAAAACATCTAAGAAATCGATCAGGCAATCATCCAAGCTCTATTTTCAACAAATTTATAGTTGAGATTATGTGGATGGATTAGAAGAATTGAAGAGGATCAAAATCACATGAATTCAAGTTGAAATTGATTAGAAATTTCGTTGAGGCAAATTGCGAGGTCATCTCAACTAGATGAATATGAGGATCGCTTAATTTTGTGTTTATTAAGGCACTAAAATGTAAAAAAATGAACAAGGGGGATCAACTCTAGAGTGTCGAGCAAAAAAAGATAATAAAAAATACCAAGATTTGATACTAATTATTAGAGCACTTGGTTCAACAATTAAGGGTATCAACCATGATAATAATGATCTAGCTCGGTTATCAAAGGTGGAGCTTAGGCATACTGCTCTACTACCAATTATTTTGGGAGAGAGAGAGAGAGGGAGGTGGGTGAAGTGGATGCACAATAACAATGACACATCAAATTTCTTCAGAATTTCCTCAACTCAAACCCACATAAACCCTAAATTTCTTGTTGAGATTGAGTGATTCGACACCCGTACTAGTTTACTAATTTCCCTACTGTACGGTTTTACTGGCTTCTATACAGTACTATTTTATTATTTATAAATTCAACTACTACTGCATGTGAGCTTTACTATTTCTACACTGATTCATGGTCTTGTGTTACTACTACTGTGATTTAATTGCTGACATACAAATTGCTCCTTTGCCGTGCATTGAGTTCAGTTATAGGATTTAATTATTTGTTAGACTCTTGAGATTATTATAAGTGGTTAAGTAATTTCAGGTCAGAGTAACAGAGCAGGAGTGAGACTGATCAGAATTCTTCAAGTTATGTTCATTTTTGTTTTAGTAAATCTTTTATAATCAGGATAGAGTAATTGTGATATGACTATATATATATCATGAGTAGTTTACATGATTTTTGGGAGCAATAATAATACAAATGTATATATTGATATTTTGAATTATAGAATTTATTTTCATTGTTTATGACAAATATATGAAATTAGATAGCTCTAGTTATTGCTTATTCAAAAATAAAAGAATAATTCTTCCAAATTAAATTCTGAAGCGTCACACAATAGACCTACAAAAGCATGAGCTATTGAAAAAAGCAATAATACCACCCAATGCCATTCATACAAGTGATCAAGTAATGCTTTTTTGCAGCTTTGATAAAGAAACAAATCAAAACACAAAGCGCAACGTCAGAAAACATGAAGAGCTACTAAGGCTGGTTCTGTGAGGAAAAAACAATGAAAGAAAATACTAAACGATATCTCTTGATTTTGGATGGGGAGGGTCTTATTTTTTCTTAGTCAGTTTCTTCCTCGGAAGCCACTAATTGGTGTATACAAATGGCTGAAGGTTCAACTTCTATGTTCAACTGACCAGTTCTGTGCCGAATGGTAAGAACATTAAGGAAAAAAAAAGGTATATAATAAAATCGTCTTCATATCAAAAGACAAATGACCCAATAAAAGAAAAACAAATAAAAAACAGATAGGTTTAAAACATACCGACCATCCATGTATCTAGCAGGGCATGTTTCCATCTTAGAATCAGATAAATCATCACTGAAATGAAATCCTACTAAAAGACTATAATCCATTATGCCCTCTGCTTCCAGAAATTCACAATCTCGCTCAATTTGCCTAAAGGAAATAAATCATTAGAGAAACAAAATCAAGCCATAAAACTCTGAAACTAAAATGCAGCCAAAGGCTATCATACCACATAATGTTCTTGAACCAAGGCTTTTGTAGGTGGAATACAAAGTTAAGATCCAGATCCTTCAAAGTAGAGGTTTCATCTATCTCTTCCTCCCTCTTTTGAATAGTTCTGCCATGAGATGAGCCTTTCAGGTCAAACCGCCTATGAATTCCATACTCTGAGCAGAGTAGGTTGCCCATCACAATGAAACGAACCTAAAAATACGACATTTCTAGTTGTAAGAGACAAAAAAGAAAAATTCTGTCTGTGCAACATGGGCACAAAGAGGAAACAGCAGATGACTTTTAACTAATTTAGGGCATCTTTGAACCTTATGTCCTCCAATGGGCTTTACACAATGCACGCCATAGAACTTTGTGAGGAGAGAATTCTCATACTTGCAAACATGTTGGTAATAATTCAATAACATCCTAATAAGAATCTGTACAAGTTAATAAAGTAATATTCAGTCAGAACAGATGTTGAATGGCATTTTCCCATTACTCAGACAGTGAGAAAAACTGGATGCAGAGCAATCTTTTTAATTAGTAGCTCCCACAAAATAAAAGAAGCTATTAGGAAAAACTAAGTGCCTAACCTTTACTTCACACTTTCTCACTGTTTTTATGATGAAACGATCATCCTGAGTCAGGAAGAACAAACTCCCACTTTTGCCAGGGGAAGATAGCTCTGTAAGATAATCAGTACCGCAAATGGCATTTACATAATCCGCTGGATCCACACCAAACAATTTCCTCAGATCTCTACAAACAGATGCCAAAGAAATTATTTCTACCAAAAGTCAGATAAGCAAATTGGAAAAAAAACATTGATCAGAAGACAAAAGCAATCCATGAAAAATCAAAGTCACATGCAAGGCGTCAATACGACTTTGTACCTGAAGACCTTAGGGCAGTAGTCCTTCCATCTGAACTCTGAAGAGTGGTGTGGATGTGTAATCTTCGATCCCTCGGGTGGAAACCTAGTCCAAAACTTCTCTCGTGGATTAAAATCGCTTGGCCAGAGCTTCATTGACTGCTTAGAAGAAGGTTTGACTACAGAAAATCTGTAGTTTAAGACAAATCAGAAAGCATTGAATTGTATGTACAAAATAACAAGGTAATCCATAGCATATAACAGTACCTGATGCCTAATTGAAGTTTAAGCACCAGATCGTAGCTCTTATGCCCCTTCGATATTGTTTGCCACGGCTTCTTCACCTCACCCGTGGTTAAACAACAATTACTCCGCAACTGAAGCTTCCCAGAAACTTCGACCCCCTCACCAAACTCCGACCCATTCTCGTAAAGCATGGAGGTATTCATGGTGTCCATAACTTCGCAGTTGATGTCCCCTGCCTCGCCATCAGACTCCCTCAAGCAGATTAATGAGATGTCATTCGCCCCTTCGCTGCTCCTCGGAAAAGCCCAATCTGCTAATGGTCGCTCACTTGACGCCAGGGAAGCTGTGCACGATACGCCGTTGATCTGCTGCTGACTCCTGGGATCGTTAATCCAGCTTCCCAAATAACAGCTGCAATCCGGCCAAGCAAAGACGCCACTCCTTTTAGGCACACCATTCTCCCAGCGACCATCGTACATGTTTCCATTAGCCAAGATAAGCACTCCTCGGCCGGAGATCATCCCATTGTGCCACTCACCAACGTATTGAGCCTTGTTGCTCCACAGGTATCGCCCCTGCCCTTCCTGGAGATCCCGTCTCCACTGCCCTTCATAGAAATCTCCATTCACATACGATTTCTTCCCGTATCCTTGCTTCCGATCGGCACTCCACGATCCCTGATATGAATCTCCATTGGCGCCAATGAAGGTTCCGTACCCCTCCCTCCTCCCTCCCTTGAACTCTCCATTATAGTTCGCGCCCGAAGGCCAGGAGAACTTTCCCGTTCCAGCGGCGTTCCCATTCCGCCACTCGCCTTCGTACATGCAGCCGTCGATCCAGATGAACTTCCCGCGGCCGTGTGGAACGTTCGCCACGAACTCACCGCTGTAGATGTCGCCATTTGGGAAAAGCTTCTCTACTTCCACCACTGCAACACCGGCCGTTTCCTCCGTGTTATCCATCGTTGGGGTCACTCTCCATCCGCCGCCGCAGACGCCGCCCGGCGATCTGCTTTTCATAGCGGCCGTCGGCGGAGAAGCACCGTCGTCTCCCTCGTCGGCAATCACCTGCGGCCGCATTCTCTAGAAACTTCCGCGAACGCCTCCGGTCAGGCTCTGCATTATATATTCCGATCGGCTTCTACTTACGTTTGACCCATACAAGTGAGCAGTAAACAAGAACTGGAAGAAGACTGGAATACGACGGGAACGTTTAGATGTCAATTAAGAGGAATTTACATATATACCCTTAACTTTTAATGTATTTATATTTTTCATATTTAAATTATATATATATATATATACCATAAATTAAAATAAAAAATTATCGCAGATAAAATAAAACTTATTACAAACTAGGATATTTTTTAGAACAATTTTTTGACTATATTTATGGTAAAAAAATAATTTATTTGGAATATTTTTATTTTACAGTTATTTTAAATTTCTATAATTAAAAGATTATTTTTGAAAAAATATTTTTGAAACTGCGACTGAGAATTAAAATACACTCTCAGTTATTTAGGGTTAGAGTGCTTTCAACTAAAAGTCGAAATCTTTGACAAAGGCCATGTAAAATAAGGGAGAAATTATTTTGTGCGAACGCCAGATCTAGCTCTGTGTCCGTAGGTGAATCAGAGCACATCATATCACCCACAGCACATCACATCACCCACTACATTATCCGGTACATAGCGGATACATAGCCATGATGCATAGCAAGGAGGTGATGTGTCGTGCTTTGATTTGCCTCCGAACGATGTTCTGATATCCGCACAAAATAATTAATCAAAATAAGGGACGTCTAAAGGAATTTTTATTAGGATCAGACACCTGACGTAACTCTACATCCGGACGCCAATAAAATATTGCCACGTGATCTTACTCTTTACCGCGCGGCCTGACGACCCGACCAGAACCAGAACCCAATATTGCTATGTATTAGCTGATTTATACAGACTAGGGTATTGCTAGGTTTTGCTCGGTAACAACAAATATTATTCTGTCAAGACCAATACCTAGCAATACCGAGCAATACCCTGGTTTTGCTAGATATTGCTCGGCATTTCTCAGTATTGATCTTGACAGAGCGGTATTTCTCGTTATTGCCAAGCAATACCTAGCAATAAAAAATTATGAATACTTGAAATTACAATTTACAAAGACAGTAAATTTATGGACGTGATGACCAAAGCTAATGGTTTATTTAATGATTTTTTTTTTTAAAAAGGAAAATTGTGGATTTAACCATTCTGCCTTTTTTTTTAATTTGTGAAAGGCTGTGAAAATTTTCAAGTTGTTTTTCTTTCTGGAATTTAATTGGTTTTATATACAAATAATTAATTTTTAATTGACAGCTTATGCAAATGACTGATACTCCATAATTTTAAATATTACAGATTTGTCTATTTTTTATTTGCATGGTTGAAATTGCCATTCAGATTTCCAGCTAATATGAATGACAGAAATTATTATTAATTAAATAAAATATGGTTTATTTTCATTGATTTATATGTAATATTTTGTAACGTGCAAAATTTTAATCTTCTTTGATTTTTTCAACTCTTCTTTGAATGTTATTAAATTGAAAGCCTTTCAAAAGAGGATTTGTTGCTATGAGTCATGAGTGATTGAGCCAAATTTCAGATTTTCTGTTTTATTTTCACATGTTTTTGCACTCTCTTAAATATTGCTCAAGCATTGATAATTTTAATTAGGGGTGTCAATTTTTGACACGGCCTGAATCCAACGCGAAAAAATTCAGGTTAGGGTCAACCCGGACCCAAAACGGGTCGGGTTCCGGTTCAACAAATCAACCCGTTTTAAAAATCGGATCAGGTTCGGGTTGACCCAGCAAGGATTTTTTCGCGTCGGATTGACCCGTTTTTGACATGAAACCCGAGATTGACCCGTTTTTGACCCAAAAATCGAAGATTGACCCGATTTTTTATCCCAAAAACTAGCAATTTTAGGTCAACTTCGGGTCATTCGTGTCGGGTCGAGTTGACCCGGACCCGAATCGGGTCGAGTTGACCCGGACCCGAATCGGGTCGAGTTATCATATAAATCAACTTATGTTACACTTTTTTTTGAATGTTTCATGAACCTTTCCATCAAATCTACTTTAACATCATCCGAATTTGCAATAACATGATTCAGTCATTCAATCATGCAATTATCATCTTCCAAATTTATATGTTCAAGCAAAAGATTGTCATCTTCCAAATCTTCAAAATAATTCATAAAATTTTCAGTATCTTTAATTGGATCTGAATCTTCATTGAAGATTCAAAATTAGGCTTATTTTAAAAAGCAATAAAAAAACCATCTCGAACTAAGCCTAAGAAATAGTTTGGAACGACTTTTTTACTGCTTAAAATATTTGTTCAGTTAAAAAAATAAAATTTTTATTTTAAAAAACTACTTTTTTATTTTTTTTTTATTAAAAAACTACTTTAAGTAGCAAGAAAATATTCTCAAATGAAGCTTAAAAATCTTTATAAGATTGTTTGAACAAAGAAGTTATCAGCTTATTCTTAGATAAACTTGGCAAGCTATAGAGTCTGAAGTAGCAATCTTATCAAACATTCAAGTGATTTGAAATTTGGTTCTCCTTTAAATTAAAAATTAATATTATGACTTTTAATTACAAAATCCAAATTATATATATATATATATATAAAGAAAAATTTTATCAATGAATGACTCTCATTGCATTATAATATAATTACAATTTCAAAGCATATAAATAAAATAGCGATGAAATTACTGTGGATAAAACAACTTAATTGTATTAGGTTTCATTTGAGATGACTTTCTTACTGCTGAAAGTACCTTTATAGTTAATATATTCTTAAAAAATTATCTTGATCGGGCACAAATCTCGAGGCAAAAATCAACCAGGAAACTTCAAAAATTAAATCCGGGAGCACCTGAACTCCGATTTCAACGAGCTTACAGTCAAACTGAGGGTCTCGAAAATACGAACCCAACGACACCAAATTCAACCCAATCCGAGCCCAAATGGGCCCAAATCAAGGACCCAAAGCGCTGTTAGAAGGTTCAAACTACAATTTGAGTTACCAAACGGTCTTCGATTTTAACGAGCTTATTCTCGAATCGAACGGCTCAACGAGACAAATCCAACGAGCCCAAGATCGTCGAATTCTGACATCACTAAGGTCTTCAAATGTCCAACAAACGGTGCACGATCATAGGATTCAATATCGGCCGTCCATTCGACCACTCCCTATTCGCTCCTGATCTCACGCCTATTTACGAGCTAAGCCACTAAAAAAAACTATAAATAGAGCCCTCATTCTTCACAAAGGGGACTCAAGTGAAGAGAGAGAAGAAGAAAGTAAGAAGAAGAGAAAGGGGAAAGGGAGAATCCTCTCCTCCTCGACCACCGCCGGAGCTCTTCCCGCCGCCTGAATACACCAGAACTCTATTGGATTTTCGGGAAACAGCGGGATTTTGCAGAACTTTGTAACTTTGTTAGAAGTTGATTGTAAACTGATTGTCTCAACTTGTGAGACGAATCGGTCTTTGTATTTCAAACAAACACTAATAAGAACAGAATAATAGTCAAATGAAATTATGATTGTTGTATTAAAAGCAAAGCAACAAAAAAGTTATCCAAAATAGACCCTAAAATACATTTGGTATGCAAACATTATTGTAATCATGACTAACTAACACCACACAACTACCGGTCATATTTCAAAGCCCAATTGGAGAGATTATTCTGTGCGGTCATCGGATAGTCCGAAGGCGAATCAGGATGTGCCACATCACCCAACACACAAAGGTACACAACACCAGTACACAACTAAAAAATGACATGATGCATCCTGATTTGCCTCCAAACGGCATCCAGTGACTGCACAAAATAATTTCACACCCAGTTGAGAGCAAGGTTAGAACAAAAGAGTTATATTACAACATAAACAATATGAGAACATTCAAAGATATCTAATGCCGATCATCTCTATCATAGAGCTTAGAGTATAATTCTTTCCTGTAAGCATGCCCGTGGCCATGCTTTCGACCAACCTGCTTCTCCTCATGATGCTTGGCAATGCTTCGGAGCCCTGTCATTGCACTTGACTCTCCCAGTACAAGTTCATTTTTACTCAGCTTCCTGTGTTTGTGCTTGTGACTTTCTTTATGAACATGGTGGACATGGCTTGCAGGCTTTAGATGTCTCTGATCATTATAGCTCTGCCTCTTTCTATGTCGTCTTTCCTTATCATGAATATAATGTCTTCTGCGATGATGGGTATGTGAATATTTTTCATACTTGGAATGGATTTTGGTTCTTTCAGTTTTGCTACCAAAACGATCATCCCACCAGTCATACAGTGGATCAAATAATCCTTTTTGATGTAAAAGCCATAGAAGGATGATGACTGTAAGACAATTTCATTCAAATGTTATTTGGAATTCAGAAGGACAGAAAAAAAGTTTGTAAATGTAATTAGATTTAGGTGAAATTAAGGGAGATTACCCGTAGGAAATATGGCCAGTAGCAATCCAAACATTAATATCCAGCTGACACAAACATATTGTAAGTGGCAACTGAAATCGAAGAAACTCGAGCATTTACTTCTGCCAAGGAAAATTGAATTCGAATGGTCATTTTAAAGATTAGTATGAGCAAAAAACCTTGCTAAATGAATTTTATTATGATCTCCTGCCAGTTAGAATTAGTATTTACTAAAAGGATTTGGCATTTCACAGAAAATTATAAAATTTTATAATATTGTGATTGTTTAACTTGTTTAGAACATTGACAGAATGGCATCCTCGCAGAAGGATAAGATCCAACATACCTGCATGTTTTCCCTGTAACGAAATCTGTCAAGCCATTCCAAATTCTTTTCCAGCCGCTCTTAATTGATTTAAGAAACCCATTCAAACCACCACCTTTTGAATCGTATTCAGACATTATCTGCAAATAAGCATAAAATATATAAAAAAAAAAACGAGCACAAATGGTACAAGGATATAAGAAATATGAAAACAATCATGGAGCAGCAAACTTCAGAAAATGAATTGGAGCACTTCCTCTGAAATGGATTAACTAGAGTTAAAAGCCCTGATTCCTAAATGCCTGGTCAGGCAGCTAAAAAAAATGATTTAGGCTTTCGTTTGGCGCGACTTTCTTGCTGCTTTTTAGTACAAAATTTTTAATTTTCATACTAAAAAGTTATTTTAAGAAGCAATAAGAAAGTCATCCCAAACGAGGCCTTAACCAAACAAATAAAATAGAATTTTACCATAAGGATTATATGTTTTGCAATAAGACAGCAGATAATCTTAAGATGTCATAATTAAGAATGACTAAATTAGAACAACTTCAATTTTAGTAAAGAATGATGAGAAGAATGTTGCAGAACTTATATAGTTATATTTAAGCATGAAAAATTCATGGCTTAAGAGAATCCTTAAAAGAATGACAACTGAAAGAAAGAATTTAAGCCCATCCTTGATAAAGACATATTTTAAGTTCATACTGAGGATTATGAAATTTCAAAGAATAACAAACTAAGGGCGTCTTAGGAACCTGGGATCCATTGTCAAGAACAGTTGCTGTGGTAGTAAATTGGCACTCCGCACGATCTACTTCTGTAAAATCAGAAGCCTTGAGAATAGCTGAAGTGAGAGAGAGTACAATATTATTAGAATAAAGAAAAACATTGAGCCAGTATGATCTCTCTACAATTGCTCAACTTGATATTACGACAACCTGCACATTCATATTTTCCAGCCTGGTCTGTTGTGGGGTATATATGGAATGATCGAGAAACAACCTCTTCTGCTTTCATTATATAAAATTGTTCCTGAAAAATTAGCAGAATCATATTTCATACAACAATAGAACTTAAATATTCCAAGGTAGTTCTACATTCGCTTAAATATAAAATGGGCTTAAATTAAATATGAAAGTATCATGTTCCTATTCAATATCAAAAAGGTAAATTTTTATAACCAAAATTCAATAGACTCACATGATGTCCAAGTTACTAACTATAGGAAGAGTATGCGCGATGGAGGTGCTTCTTAATTTAAAGCTTAAAAATGGGAAGCGTTAATAGCAAGAAGAGATGAAGGATCTTGATTTGTGAGAAGAAAAATTAATCAGCAATGAGATCTTTTATTATAGAAACCTCAAGAAAAACAAAGATGAAAAGTTATCATTACATATGCTGATGTATATTTGTTTAAATGTCAAGTTTATCAATTTAAATCTCTTAAAAAATGAACTGAGTATAAGTTTGTTTGCACTAAAACAAACGACACCAATATTACTAAGATATTTTCAAAGGTACAAATGAGTAATCAGATAGTTATTTCAAATATAATCAAACAGCATCCCAAGTTATGTCAGCAGAATGAGAAAATGTTTCATTACAAAAGCTACGGCCTTCTAACATAAAGATATGACAAAATTGGAAAAAGTCAAGAGGATATTCCAAACATGTATTACCATCACACAAAGTACTAAAAGGAAAAGGATAGGGCGAGTACAAAATAATCTCAAGATTATTAGTAAAAGGCTAATTTAGTCTTGTTCAATCATGCAGCCAAGGGGAGGCCACGTCAGCAATCTGTGGGTAGCAATCTAAGGGCTACAGTTGGAGTTATGTGGGCAGCAATTCGAGAGTTGCAGTTGGAGATTCATAGGCAGCAAACCGAGGGTTGTAGTTGGAGATCCGTGGGAAGCAATCCAAGGGCTGCAGTTAGAGATCCGTGGGATATGTTTATTATAATTAATTAGATTAAATGTCTTCCTTTTTCTGTTTGTTCTCTTAGAGTGAATATATATGTAATGATTCCAAGGAATAGAATAAAATTTGAATTTCCCTCTAAACAATTTCTACATGGTATCATAGCCTAGGAAAATCCTAAGCCTTCTCTGAGTGCCGACGAATCCTTTCTTCGAAACCCTCTGCCAGTGGTAACTTAATATAGGTTTAATTCAAATGAAGAAAGATTTGAGCTAAATTTAATTAAAATAATAAATTATCTTAAATTATGTAATCCATGAGACTTAATCCTATTGGCTAATCTATTCAACACATGGATTAATAAATTAGAACTTCTCTATTGGCTCAAAATTAACCCCTCTCCCAGGCGCCCCATGCATTAAGATCCCTCAATTGATTCTTGCATAAATCACTTAATCATTACTTGGAAACTGTGGGGCTAAAATTTTCTTATACTTGGAATTGTTTTAATTTTGCAAATTTTCTATTGGCTGTTGACCTTTCCCTTGGATTGCACCCTAATCTAATTGCTCCAAATTAAATCAAATATGTGCACTGTCCCTCTCCCTCCCTTGGCCGAATTTTGTAACTTTCAAATTCAAATTATTGTGGCCAAAAATTGCATGGCTCCTTCCTATTTTGTCTTGGCAAGTCACATGCCTTTTTGGAGGCTATTTAATTTATTTCAAATCTCCTTTTAAGTTCAAATTATTGTCTAAAATGTTTCCCCCAAATTTTCCCAAGCCTTGGCCAAAATTCTTTTTATAAATTAGAGAGGCAGGCTTAGTATTTTTCTTCTCTCTTGCTCTCAAAATAACTAAACTCTGCCAAAATATTTCCTCAAAGTGCTAGATCATTTTTCTTGCCTTGGCCGTGACTTTCAAGGCCTCTCATGCTTACTAAAGTGTTTTTCTTGCTCTCTCACTCTTCTCCATACTTCAAGAGACAATTTGGTGAGATATTTTGTGGGCTCCGAAAATTCGGCCCCGGCCTCCGCCCGCACATGATTGTGCTTTTATTTGAGCGAGGTAGTTTTAATTGAATTAAGTTCCGGGGTAAATTTTGGAAGACAGCTGGGTTTATAGATAAGACACTACCCAGAGATTTCGCCCTCATTTGTGAGAACTTTATGATCTGAGTTCTGGTTTCCTATAGGCGCAAGTCCCTATAGTTAATTACTCCTCCTGATCACGGGAGAGAACGTTCGATTAAGGCTAGTCGTCAATCAGATACGTAGAAGATACGTAATATCTGGCGTATAATAGCAACATAGGCATAGGTATTTGAAGAGTTTGGATATTGGAAAATTTGGATGGTTTAAAGTTGGGATTTGATATTTAAAATAGAAATTTTCACCATCTTTCACTTAAAGCGGATGGTGGGGGAATGAATGTTAGACCCGATCAAGATCCCATAGTTCCGTCGTCCCGGGCCATCATGGTCCCTGGTCTACTATCTGGCGTATAGTAGCAGCATAGGCATAGGTATTTGAAGAGTTTGGATATTGGGAAATTTGGATGGTTTAAAGTTGGGATTTGATATTTAAAATAGAAATTTTCACCATCTTTCACTTAAAGCGGATGGTGGGGGAATGAATGTTAGACCCGATCAAGATCCCATAGTTCTGTCGTCCCGTGCCATCATGGTCCCTGGTCTACTTAGTCAGAGGAGGTAGTCGACCAAACCTGACAGAAGGATCCTTGTCGGCAGCCATGGGTTGCTTTGTCCAAGGGGAGGGATCTTGTAGACCTGGATTGGATGTTTGTTTAAGGGGACAAATTGGAATCCACCTTAGCTAACAGAGGGCTTTGTGCCCTATCGATCATATCCTATTGATTCATATCTCAAGGATTTGTTGTCACTAAGGAGCGTATTGGCTCTGGCCATAACCGGTATTACATGGTGCCATTTGGCGGCAAATCCACTCGGTTCAGAGGGCCTAGGGTCATAACCGTTTATCCTACGGTGCAATTTTGAGGCAAAACCGCCGGTTAGAGGACGCATACCACGTCCTTACTAGCAGAAGATTGGTTTGAGAATGGATCCTAGTGATATTTTCGACTGAGCATTGGGCTCTTTGTGAGCTGAAGTTATATTTGAATTTGTCCACCTCGGCAAACTGTTATGGAGGGTGGATGAATTTTGCTTTGAGTGGTTGATGATTGAGTTTCAATTTTAAATATTTTGAAATTTAGGATTTTTGAAATTTTGGACTTTGTGGATATTTGAGGTGACATTTAAAAATGCCTGAAATTAACCCCTCTGGTTGAGATTTTCATTCAACATGGCCATCATCGGGGGGTTTGGGGTCATTTCTCTTTTGTTGATTGAACCCTGTCAACTCGACCAAGCTATTGATCGAGGATAGGGTTTCATAGACTTTGTGCCCTTGTTAGTGAATTCTTCTGATTATAGGCTTTGAAGGCCTAATATGAATGTATAAAATAAATATCTCAGTCGACCTCGTGACCGGATATTCATTTAAGGGTTCGAGCCTTGTCAACTCCCACTTGCCTTTATAGGAGGATCGGGCTCGAACTTGAATTCACTTATTGACCCGCGCAGCATCCCTAAATGTCACATGTGTTTCTACAACATGCTCGCCGGGGTCCATGCGGGTGTTTGGGGCATTTTATAATTGAACCCTGTCTACTCCTTTTGACCTGCTTAGGAGGATCAGGTTCAAATTTATTTACCAATAACACGCTCGCCGGGCCCCATGCGGGTATTGCGATTGCATTTACCCCTTGTGTACCTATGTGTATATAAACTACAGTGCACGTACGGGGTATTCTTGGAATATTTAGAGACACCTTCTGTCCGCTTTCATGAATGTTGCGGATCCGGTGTCGTGGCATAGCAGCTTCTTAATAGACTTGTTCGCTACTTTGTACAGGTAGACTGTCGTGCACTATATGTTGCTTTCTGTTGGTGGATCATAGTGCACTAACGAATCTCCTGCTTTTTGGTCATAGGAGCTTGCACTTGTCATATTCTCCATGCATTTTTTTGTGGTTTTGGTCCCCAAAACACATCCAAAATTGCTGCAGGTAGATGTATTCTTTCATTTGTAGATTGAGGCTGACTACAGGATACTGCATTTACTGAAGTCTTTCTGCATCTACCCATCAGTGGCTGACACATACATTTATTTTCGTAGAGAGATCGTATGTGTTGCAGATCTTTCATATTTGCTCGCAAACCATATGTTGAATGTACAACGGGCCTCCTGCAATGGACCGTAGGCACTTGCACTTGTTGTATATCAAATACCCTCCACTTGTAGGAGACAGATGCACCTACTTGCCACTGTCTGATTATAGACTGTATTAGTATCTTAACACTTGTGGTAGACTCCTTGTATCCTTCTTGTAGATGACGTGTTGTGTGCACAGCGGGTCTTCTACAAACTTTCATAGGCATTTGCATTTGTTATACGTCCGCTTCTGCATTAGAGAACCAGTGTATTTAACCCATGTTGAATTATTGTCAATGATGTGTTATGCTTGTGAACATCTCATATTGCATATTAATTGCTATGATTTGTTGAGGTTCAGTGCATTTATCTGATAATTACTCATCTTCCATCATTGCTAGTAAGAGTTCACATCCGCTACGATCTTCTATCTCATTCATGTAGAAAATCCGCATTGGTGATGTGTTCACCAACACTACTTGTAGATAAGATCGTTGTATGAATGAAGAGTTTTACATGTTAACTTGTAGGAGCTTGTATACTTTGCCGGTGTGTTACCCTTGTTTGTACCTTTGCTTGCATGTTGAATTGTTGTTGATAATGGAGACTTCACTACATTCATATGTAAATCTTTTATGAATATCCCCATTGTAACTATCTTTGCTCATCAAATTCATATCACTTATTCTTATGAGTGAGATATAAGGATTCTATTCACCATAGGTCATTGCTCATGATTATTTGTTGATGCTTGTAGGAAAGTTAAGCTTGTAGTTCTTTGTTCAAGTCCCAAACAATGTCACTCAGCTCAAGTTCAAATTTTTTGCATTCAAGCAAAGTTTCACATTCCTCAGACTAAGTTCAGGTCCAAGTTCTATTCATTGATGTTTGTTTGGATGCTCAAGATTATTGGTTAACACTTTTATATTTTCAATATGATCATTTTACTTTAATTTTCAAAACATGTTCATTCGAGTCCAGTTTCACAAATCCTTGCTTGAGTTCAAGCATCAAACTCAAGTTCTAAATCCCCTGCTGTCCTTGAAGTTCAAGCCTTGTCGGCTTAATGTTCAAATCAAGTTCTTCATCATTTGAGTTCAAGTCCAACTGTTGTCAACTTGATTCAAGTTCTGAGTATAGTTCCAAATGGTCAACTTGTATCTTTATTTAAGCTTGAATCCAAGTTTTCATTCAAGTCATTGTGATTTATTTAAGCTTGGATTTGTTTTATATTTGAGTTTATTGCATTTAAAGTTCACAAGTCCGAGTCCACCATTGTTTTTTTTTAGTTCAAATGAGGTCCAAGTCAAGTCTCACATTCACTCGAAATTTCGGTAGCCTCCCGGCGTCTCCCCCGTTTAGGAGAAAACTACGGAAAACTGGGCCTTTCCCACCATGCTAAGAAAAGCGTGTATGGTAGGTGCCCTCTTTCGAGGACACCGCGGCCGTGTATTTTTTTTTATCCCCCACCACGCTAAGAAAAGCGTGTATAGGTCTTTGGTACGCATTGCAAGAAAAGCAGTTATTTCCCCGCAAGCGGGTACTTATGGGTATCCCCGCTTCATAGTACGCATCGCACCGGATCCCCATCCCACCACGCTAAGAAAAGCATGTATAGGCGATTTTCCAGTGCGCTACGAACTAAGAAGAAGGAATTTAGGTGATTACCCGCTTCGTTGCAAGCCTTGCGACACACTTCCTCCCACCACGCTAAGAAAAGCGTGTATAGGTGGTTGTTTTGTCACATTGCAAACATCGAAAATGGATTCTCGGAGTTTTAGGGTTTAGGAGTTATACCTTGACGGCCGTTGGTAATGACGAGAAAAGATGTACATGAAATTATTATTATAATCAATAATAATAATTTACTATTTTTATAATTGAAAATAATAATAAACTATTATTATTATCATAATTAATCATAATAACTTATTATTATTATTATTATAACCAGTAATAATAAACTGTTATTTTATTATAACTAATAATAATAATAATAATAATAATAATAATAATAATAATAAAACTATACCTATCCTCGGTTTGGGCTTGCCGCAGGGAGGAGTGGAGATGGGTTCGGCTGAGAGGAAGGGCGACGACTGGATCTTGGGTTCGGCTATGGGAGTTGCTTGGAATCGAATGGAGGTCAAGTGCAAGAGGTCGGGTGGAGTAGAGGAGATGGATCGCAAATGAGGTAAGAGTTTGGTTTCTTTTTCTCTCTCTCTCTCTGTTCGTATGACGAGTCGACACAGGCAAACAGATCGGGACAGGGAGCTTCGGGTCGTATGGGGATTTCCGATCGCGTGGAAGAGAGAATCGGCGAGGCTTTGGATTGGCGTATGGCTTTGAGAAACGAAGAGCGGGTCGGGACTTAGAGGTCTTCGGCAGAGAGGAAGGAAAGTCACAGGAGACTCATATGCGTGGGAGAAGTGGAGAAGAAGCGGGGTTTCAGCTACTTTGCGTGAGAGAACCGAAGCCAGAACTTCGTTTTAGAGTCGTATTTAATGACTCGAGAGGAGGTGTATTCGAGGCGAACTTGACGCGAATGCAACGACGCCGAACAGGGTATGGGGCGACTGTAGAAGCGACCGGTGCAGCGATTCGGGCTGGATTTGGCTACAGGTAATCATTTTGGGTATTTTTTTATTTCTTCTTACTTTTTTTTTTTGCTGTAGATTGTAGGTCAACATATTTCCAATTGTGGTATTTTAATTCTTTCAATCTTGTGCAAAATTATGAAGTCATTTTTTCTTGGATTCAAATTATGATACTCTTCACATTAGTTCGATATTTTATCATGATCATATACTTCATGTGGTAAATCGAAGTTTAGTTGAACCTTACTTGTAATCTCTAACTATTCACATTATTCTTGAGTTGATTCAAAAGTTTGTTTGATATCTATTGTGCATCTCCTCTTGCAATTATATTAAGTTATTGTTCATGTGTTGCTACTTGTGTTTGAATCTTCATATACTTTTGTAAAACTCAACTATTAGATTAGATTGGTTGCAAGTTTAATTTGTGGGTGCATTTTCATTGATATTTAAAATGCATACAACAACATCAAGCCTTTGTACCACTACGTGGGGTCGGCTACATGAATCCTTTTTCGCCATTTGGGTCGGCTACATCAAGCCTTTGCTAGATCATTTTTCACAATTTGGTGAGATAATTTCGATATTTAAAATGCATAATAAAGAAATTATATTGCGAGCTATCAAATTTGTTGGCTATTGTGGCTTATTGTTATGAGACCTACATTCATTGTTATTTCTTGTAATAGTGAGATTTGTACTGGATTTTTGTTTTGTTCCTTGTTTCATTGTAACCTTGCTATGAGGTTCTCACCGTCGTGTGAGGTAACCTCTTCCTGGTATTGGAAGATACAGTTGTTGTAACCTTGGTGGTTTTAGTTGAATCCTAGCCGATTGTGTGTGGTTAGGCATCGAGTAAGCCGGTTGTGGGTTGTTTTGGCCGAACCACATAAAAGTGCATTGTGTTTTTGCTTGCTTTATCTTTTTCTTTTGTGTGCATACATGTGCTAACTAGCAACCAACTTAGTCACCTAATTTTTCTACTTTGCCGCATTGTACATAAAAATCAAATATGATTTTCAAGTGGTTTTCTTGCACAAATTTGTTTTTGATAACATAAACTTCTTTGTCACTATAAGTTTTTCTAAAAACTAAAATCTAAGTTTCTTAAACCTAATTTTAATTACGAAAGTTTTTAAATACCCAATCCCCAATCCTCCTCCCCCCCTTCTTGGGTGCCTTAGCAACTATCAACTTCCACTCTAAAATGAATGCAATATAACAACGAAACTTGTAAAAGATCAGATATTAAGACAACTTACTTCGAATGCACTATAACACAATTTGAACTTAAGATAATACCTCCATGTAGCTGATACCCTTCAGGCAGTCAAACTGCAAGGAAAAAAAATAAAACTTGAGGGAAATTCAAATCTAGATATAATTTACATTAATTTGCATTCACATTCACGAATTTATGAGTCCATGTAAAAATTTAAATATAAATTAGTGTCCACGTGTCATTAACTGTATCTTGATAAAGTCTGTAGATAAGATAGAAAATATCAGAAATCTTCCGATGCACTAAGTAATTCTAACATAGTAAAACATCCTAATATTAAGACTTTTTTTCTTATGTCAAAATCCATTTTTAACTAGTACTACCATCACTAGCTGAAGTTGCCATTTTAGAGTCCTGCACCGTCTAGTTGACTAGTCACCTGAATGTCTGCAATGCCTCACTAACTAGCAATAGATTAGAATCTTCCTAGATAATTCAAAACAAAATTCCGTGAAAATGTTTATGTTCAATACTTTAATTGGCATCCTGAGATCCATGTCATATGTTAGCCAGCATCACAAAAAGTTTATGAAACGTAAACAAATGGGTATGAGAAAACATACAATCTGACTAAAACATGTGTAAGATGCACCTCTTGTCTGATGGAATTATACAGTGTTGGTGGTGACTTGATTAAAATAATAATTTGACTCTTAACAGGACACAATGGAGAAAATCGATTCATATAATCGACCCTACGTAGTGGGATACAACGCTTGGTGGTTTTGTTGTTGTTGTTGTTGTTGCTGCTGCTGATTAGCATTTAAAAAGAAAGGGAGTACATCAATGGTTTACACGGTATTGTTTGGTAAAAAGAAACATGAAAACATTTAAATAACAACTGTCGAAGATAATACTAAATAAAACCTTTATAATATTTATACTTTAGATCCATAATGCTTAAGAATTTTTTTTTTTTTAGAAACCATGCCTAAGATGGTGGTGATAGCTGCAATGCTTTATGGTGCAAAATATTGGTCATTAAAAGATAATCATAAAATTAAGTGTTACAGAGATGAGGATACTTAGGTGGATGAGTCACTTTACACTTAGAAATAAAATATAAAGCGAGTATTATCCATGAAAAGGTTGGAGTAGTTGCAGTGGCAGATAAAATTAGAGAGAGTCACCTTAGATTATTTAGTCACATAAAATGTCGGCCTTTCAATACACGATTAGGATAGGAGAGTAGATGCATTAGATCTGACCAATGTTAAGAAAGATAGATGTAGACCTAAAAAGACTTAGAAAGCATTAGAAATAAATTTTGTTTATTAGATTTAAATGAGAATTTGATTTTTGATAGGACACAATAGAGAAGAAGAATTCATGTACCCCACATAGTAGGATAAAGACATGATTTTGTTGTTGTCGCATGCTGCAGATGGTGGGCTGGATTTATGGTTGACTCCATTATAAGTTGGATGTCATGAATTTGGGTCACGAAAATAGCCTCTATATTATTCAAAGGAAAGATAAAAATGAACACAAATTAACTCCTCCCAAAAACCCTGCACAAGTGTGAGCTTTTTTATTTAATTTTATTCCAGATCTAAAATAGAAGGTGATATTATGAGCAAAGGTTAGCCTATCCCCCTGTGACTTGGAGTTGAGGTTATCGGTTGCATCATTGCCTCCTTACTGAAGTAAGGGCAAGCCTATGTACATCAATCCCTCCAGAGATAACATAATTGGAGACTTAGGCATTTTGTACTGTCTTTTTTTGACACAACCCTTCAATTATTTTGGTCAATCAAATTCAGCAGCTAGTTTTTTTATTTTTAAGGCAAAACCATGTATTATTCCATTTCTTTATGAGACTCATTAAACTATTCTAACAGCAGAACATGTTCCTATATATATATATATATATATATATATATATATATATATATATATATATATCATCATGAAGTAGATTGCAATCTAGAGATTTTACCAAGCTCTGTTGTTTTTTTTAGAGGAAAAGGAGCTTATATTTGTTTCTTCATGATGCATTAAGCTATCACTTGATGGTCAAACAACCATTTATAACCTTTACTGGATAGATTTATTTCATCATCCTAAAACTTAGTTGAAGTATCTTTAGTTGGAAGAGGTCTGCAGTAATGAAATGTTATCTTCGTCACATATGGTAACTGAAGTAGAGGTTTAATCAGTGGAAGCTTTCTGCATCTATACTCTATTCTTTGAAATAGAAATAAAGAATGAACTGAAACCATGAGATTCTTTTAAGACAGATTTGTGTACACTTGTTAACATTACGAAGTTTTGACATTAAGCCAACTAGATCTTCCAAAAAATGCCATCAACTATTGATGATCTTCCTCATTTCTAAGTTCTTAGAAATTATTATGTTCAATGTGGCATTGTGTAAGTTAAGTGTTGCAGAGATGAGGATGCTTAGGTGAATGAGTGGCTTTACCTATAGAAATAGGATACAAAAGGAGCATATACGTGAAAAGGTTGGAGTAGCGCCAGTGGAAGATAAAATTATAGAGAGTCGCCTTAGATGGTTTGGTCACATAAAACAACAGCCTTCCGATGACCCGGTTAGGAAAGTAGAGGTATTAGATTTGACTTATGTTAAGAGAGGTAGAGGTAGACCTAAAAAAGACTTGGTTAGAAAATATTGGAAATGATCTGTCTTTATTTGATTTAAACGAGAATTTGACTTTTAACAAGACACAATGGAGGAAAAGGATTCATGTGCCCGACCCCACGTATTGGGACAAAGGCTTGAAGTTGTTGTTTGTTGTATAAAGGAAAAATTATATAATAGAAAATTGAGGCAATAAGCCCTATTGACAACTCATCAGCAGTGCATAAATAAGCTCAGATAAAGCCAACACACGTTCAAGAACAGTGTTCCAAATGTATGGAATAAAGTTTTAACAGGAAAGTTTTGTCCATACAACATATTGAGTTTAAGAAAATACATTTGCTGTAGCATCATAGCAACAAACAGGCCAAACAAATAGAAAACAAATTAAAATATATAAGTTCTTACTTAACGTATCATATAACGAAAAATTGAATTCTATAAAGTTAAGATGGCATAACCCCACATGAACATAATTTCAAAAAGCTTAAATATTACTTCAAGTTTGATGGAAAAATTGAACAGATAAAATCAACATACCGTTAGGCTATATGAGGCTTCTAGTTTACCAATGTTCTTTGTTGTCACTATAGCTGTACCAAATTGGGTAAGTGCTTCAAATGTAGGGACTCTTATGCTTAAAATCTTCCCGGGACTCCTGAAACAAAATTATGAATGTTCACCAGTCTTCATTGGCTCTATAATTTGAAAGAAATACACATGAGCATCGAACATATGAAACAATCAGAAAAAGGTGACTTGTTTAAGCCAACAAAAATATGAAAGAACAATTAAAGCTGATATGCAAAAGATATTTTTCTTCTTTTGGGTTTCCATGTAGGAACCCCTGTTTGCACAGATGCAAGACCATAACATATAAATTGTATCAGAGAAACTATTTCAATATGTTCAACCCTTTGTCTTTGCTCACGACCCTCAATTGCAAATAATTGGTTATTATCTTCATGATTTCAAGTTTCAAGATACTAAAAATTTTGTATGGTGCACAATACTAGTATTTTAACGGGCATACTTAATAAAGTATGACACTGAAATGACAACTAACCAACTAACAACCAAACAAATTAATTGTCATTATAAATCTTCAATATCAAAATATGGAGCTCATAAATCTTGAGAGGCTGCTGATACTTAATAATTTAGAAAGTCAAATTATTTACTGGTTTTTGTGGGCGAGCAAGATCCCAAAGCTCCTGAGGGAGCCGCGATGTTACTCAGTGGTGAATTGTAGAAGATATAATCGAGCGGGGGTGCTGATGGAAATGGAAATGAGGAAGGTTGCTGGGTCAAATATTTTAGCTGATTTAGTTTGGTATAAAGGTTGACAACTTTTTCCTGGTTCTAGGCATTTCATCTTGAAACTGGTTTGTGTGGTATACTAGAATGGACTTCTGCTGGTTCCTAGTTAAACTGGTTGAGCCATATGTTCTTGGTTTCTAGAACATTTTCTTAGCAAAGATGGTATGTTTTTAGGCGATCAGAATGCTTTTATGGCTATCCAAAACTATAACATTTCCTTTTTATAGGTGATCAATAATCACTTAATAAATTACATTATTAATAAGTTTTTCAAAATGTGAAGTCAATATATATGGAATTAGTTGTGGCCCTTTATAATCTCAACAGATAACAAGAAGCAATTTAAAATCAGATAGAAAACAAATAGTGCACTGTTTAGGAAAAAATAATGTGAATGCTTAATTGAAAGAAGTTATGGAGACTAGCATAATGGTTGTTTGTCTTCTCTTTTACCTTTATTTCTATGCCAACCAAAACACATGGCATATCTGCATATCTACTAAGCTTGTTAGATATATTCTAGAGTGTCATTTGGAAGATTTATAGGAGTTCTGTTAATTCATGCTATAGCCACGTATAAATTCCTTTCAATCCTTCTATTAAATATTTGTAGTTGGATTTTATTTTTATAAAGTAGTATGATTGTTAATACTCTTCTTTAATTTAATTCACAGACCCACAATCTGAAACACGACTTCTCACACTAGCACATCTAAAATTCTAAATGGATAAATTCCACTTTCTATTGATATTTTCAAAATTATCTCAAATTGAACGAATCATTGTACAATTCTACATGAAGTTAGTACTCTCATTGGCATGTTAGGTTTGTTGTAATCTTGTCCGCAAATAATTTTATTTATAGAAATGACAATGGAAAAGTATAAATGATAAATAATACTATTAGACTCAATGACAGGTCTAAATAAGATGGTGGTGAGACCTACAATGTTTTATGACACAAAATGTTGGCTAATAGGGGAAGCATAAAGTTAAGTGTTGCTAAGATGAGGATGCTCAAGTGGATTAGTGGCTTCACTCTAAGAGATAGAATGCAAAACAAGTATATGTACGTGAAAAGGTTGGAGTAGCTTCAATGGAAAATAAGATTAGAGAGAGTTGTCTTACATGGTTTGAACACATAAAACGTTGGCCTTCCGATAACCCAATTACAAGAGTAGATGTATTAGATTTGGCCTAAGTTAAGAAAGGTAGAGGTAGACCTAAAAAGACTTAGCTAGAAAATATTACATATCACATTTTTTTTATCAAATTTAAATGAGAACTTGACTCTTAACAGGACAATGGAAAAAAAAGATTCATGTACCCGACCCCACGCAGTGGGATAAAGGCTTGAAGTTGTTTTAAACTATGATAGGTCTAGATGTTATTCCTTGATAGTGAGGTTATTCTAACCTTAGTATGTTTTGACAATTCAAAATGACTATTTATATTAATATGGAAAAAAAATAGTTCATTGATTTACTCATGCATAATTTGCCTCCTTAATAGAAACAATAAAGCATCTCTACAAGTCAATCGATAAATTTTGATATTTACATTCCAGATTAATACACTCTAAATTTTTGTTGTTCCAAACATCTTATAAAGTACTGAAATTGTTCATAAATCGTCAGTAAAAAGAGACTAATCCATGAAATCTCCTCACTTCAATAATTGTTCTTGGAGTTGGCCAACTCTGGATTGCTTCAATTTTAATGGGGTCCACTTTAATTTCTTAATTAGAGACAATATATCCAAGGAAAGTCAAACTAGGAGTCATGAAATAGCACTTTTTAAGATTGATGAATAAACATTGTTCTCTTAAAGTTTGAAGAACGTGTCTTACATGTTCAAGATGATCATTGGGACATGCACTATAAATCATTATATCATCAAAATAAACCACCACAAATTTTCCAATAAAGGGACGCAAGATTTGATTCATGGTTCGCATAAATGTGCTAGGAGCATTTGCTAGACCAAAAGGCATTACTAGTCACCCGTAGAGTCCTTCCTTAGTTTTAAAGGCTGTTTTCCACTCATCACCGGGTCGTATCCAGATTTGGTGATATCCAATTCTCAAGTAAATCTTAGAGAGAATTTTGGCACCACTAAGCATGTCAAGCATATCGTCAAGTCATGGGATTAGAAACCTATACTTGATGCTTATCTTGTTTATAGCACGACTGTCAACACACATTCTTCAAGTTTCATCTTTTTTAGGGGTAAGCAGGGGGGACAGCACATGGGATCATGTTTTCTCTGATTAATCCTTTGGTTAAGAGACCAATTACTTGTTTGTGAAGTTCATCATGTTCAGCAGGACTCATACGATAGTGAGGCAGGTGTGGTTAATTTTCCCCAGGCACAAGGTCAATCTGGTTTTGGATGTCTCTTAGAGGAGGCAAGGAATCAAGTAGTTCTTCTGGGGTTATATCTTCAATTTTTTTTTATCAAAGATTGAATTTCTTTAGGAATTTTTTTGTTTTCTTAAGTCTCTTTTCCTACCGCAAGATAAATCACTTCAGAGTCTTTGAGTTCATTAGTATTGAGAAGCAATTCAGGATCGAGTGACTTTGAATTTTTTGGGACAGATTTTGTAGAAGGATCAGAAATTTTCTTTTGAGGATATAGGTGATGTAGAACTACAATGCTTAAAAGGAAAGTTTGCACAATAATTTAAAGAGCAGCACCATTTAAGTTATTAGCAATAAAAAAACAACCAAAGAAAACTAACAAACGGTCACATCCGTTTAGGCCAAGTTACATAAGAATGCTAAACCAATTTAAAATATTTAGGAAATTCAAAGCAATGCAAATGAAGTAGTTTTCAACATAAACCCTAATCTAACAAAGAAAGCTTAGTAACATAGAAGAAAACAACCCTACGTTTACAACACGATTCCTTGCTTAGAACATCTCCTACAAGGTTAGTAGAATAGGATGATACATGAACTAGGAGAGAAGTTCACCTTCATTGAGATCCCGCGGTGATGCTCCACTCGATGTCCGGTAATTGTTCGTCGGTTTCTTCGGCTAGGACAAAAATAAAAGGATGCGATCGACGTATTGTTCCACGGAACCGTCAATCTCCGGGTTGAAAAGGAGGTAAACTGTAGGTCGACGTCTCCTTGTTCGTTGTAAACAATGTTGGAATCTAGTACCGGGTCAGCCGTCCATGCTAGAAGTTGTAGTTTCAGACCTTGGGAAGTTCCGGCCAGCAAGGAAGGGACTCTATAATGATATTATAGTAAAAGGGGCTGGTGAGAATTACGGGACGACGGGCTGTCCTCCTAGGGCAGCAGTTAATGAGCTTTCCGGTAGGTGGAAAACCAAAGTCAGGTGCAGGAATTTCTGGCAGCAAGCTTGAGAAACAGAAATATGAAGTTGGATGGGTTGTGAGGGAGGGTTTTGGAGGAAAGAAGCTTGTCCAGATACATGGGGAAGGAGACGGATAGCTGAATGAATGATTTGGAATGTTTCCAAGTGAGGAGGAGGGTGATTTGACTAAAGAAATAAGTATGGGGGCCTTGGGAGATTTCGGCTAGGGGAGATAGAGGCTGATTTGAACTTATTTCCAAGCGAGGAGGAGGTTTAGGAAATAAATCATTGCATTTATTATAGATGGGGGGACTAGCGGCTTAATGATGAGGGAGGAGATTGGGGGAGATGATTTAGGTTACTTAAATTAAGAAATTAAATTTGAAATGCAAGATTTCATCCAATTTAATTTGAAATTTAAATAGGCTATGAAATAAGAAGTTACCAAAAATAGGATTATAAATTAGGTAACTATTTTAAATTCAAATATATTTGAATTTACTCATGAATAGAGTTACCTAAAATATAAAAGACTATTTTAGGAAAGGTTTAAGGGCAAGTTGGTGATGGAGGGAAAAACCAAGAGGGAAAATTTGAAAACTTTCCTAAAATAGATTTTATAATTTAGGAAAGAATTTGTATTTCAAATTTGGAGAAATTTGAATTCAAAGACCAACTAAATTATGGCAATCCAAAAATTAGGAAGTATCCAAAGTAGGCAATGGGGGATGGGAGAGGGCTAGGCCGGCGGTTTGAATGGGGGCGGGTAAGGGGCCGGCGACAAGGTGGAGATGTTGGTGGTGTTTTGGTGGGTGGAAGGAAATGACTAGGGCGAAGTAAGATCGTGAAGAAAAGGTGGGAGATAGAGTTAAGGGAAATCAAAGATGTGAAACCACGAACCTGGCCTTCTCCAAGGTTGGTGGGTGATGCGCCAATCTCCCTCTCCAAGGGATCTCTCTCCGATCTCAAGCTCTCTCAAGAACTCCAAGCAAGAAGACAAAATTCTCAAATAAT